GGGCAAACAAACTCGCTAGTATATATATAAGAGAAACAAACAAACTCGCTGTGGTCGCGCCTTCGACGCTCCATTACCTTGGATAGTGATTAATTCATGTATTCTTTGCGAAATGGCAAACACGTATTTAAAGTACGTCCCCATTGAAATACGTGACATATGGGTTCGAAAGTCTTCATTTCTATAATAAAAAAACATTACTTCCATTATTTCTAGTGTGCCTAACTTGAAATCTTTTCATGTGTCCCTTTTGTAAGGGTGGAGAATACATTTTCAAATACTTGCCTCCTATAATCTACGCTATGGGTGAATATTTCAAAAGTAGGATTTTTCCTGTACTTAGCCATCAAACATGTACTCCTGAGGGAATTTTAACTTTTCTGTTTCTGTTTCGTTGGATCGAAAAATAATTCACGAAAATGGGACTTAAAAAAAGTGTCCTGATGGGTTTTAACGAAAAATATTTTTTCCTTCTGAAATATAGACTCAGGGAGCCCCATGCCGCCCAGTTTCAGCCTTATACGTTTCCCCTTTTTGCTGGCGGTAAAAAAGATATTTCTAAAAGCAATCCACCCAAAAGCTGTGCTCTGGGGAGACGCTCAGCAAAAGTTGAATTTTTCCTTAAATTAACATCACGTCCGGTATGCGTGCGCCACTGGCAATTTTTCTATTTCAAGGATATTAAAAATGCTTTGAAAATGTTACGTCCCCAAGAAATATGCCCCTCAAAAATATTTTGGAAATTTGACATTTGACATAGGAGCTCAGTGCTTCACCAGTCACGTTCTTCCCATTTTACAGCTTTCCATGGGTCTCCGTTTGATTGAAGCAAAGTGAAATATTCGAAAATACTGCATGTTCCCCAAAAAGGTGCGTCGCTATAGCGTGTATCACTAGAGTGGAATTTCTCCTGAACTCGGCATGTTAATGGCTACTTATGTCAGTCAGATACTCACGATCGTCACACATATGATATGAAAGTCGATTTTTTTCTTTTCTCAGCTATTCATCAGGTACTACTTTGCCAAGTTTAAACTTTATAGAACCCTCCGTTTTGCTCGATAGGAAAATTTAGGAAAATTTGCAAAATATATGCCCTCGGGCATTTTAACCGAAAGGTACCATTTTTTCACTGAAATCAATCCTCAGTGAACTACATGCCCAGAAAGTTACAATATTATACGTTTGCCCTTTGCGGTGGTGCAAAGTCATGCTTGGAAAAGCCGACCCACCCAAAAGCTATGCCCAAAGGGGATGTACCATGAAATCTGAATACTCCCTCAACTCAATAATATCACGTCACTTATACATGTGCCATGTTTCATCTTTCCATTTCTGTCCAATTCGCCTCCTTATCCGTCACGATATATATTTTAGAAAAACTTCTCCCCCCAAAATGTGTACCCCCAGGGCATATACCGCCAAAGTCGGATTTTTTCTGAACTCTGCACCCCAAAAAGGTACGTGTACCAAGTTTCAGATTTCTAGCCTTCTAAATATAAGAATTGAAATGATGATGTTGGTTATGGATGATAAGGAGAGGCTGCTGGCTGAAGATCAATGTATCATTAGCCATGGTAGCTTATACCCATATGGTCTTAATGATAGATACCAAGGAATGAACATGTCTATGAACACTAATCTGCACTGCATTTACAAATTTTTTAAAAATTCCAGGTTTTCTCAGAAAAAGGCATCTAAAAGGCATAAAAGATCTCACATGAAATCAAATCCATACAACAGATTTATAGATTTCTACAAGCTACTTGAAAAATGGGAAGATATTTTTCTAACAGCAAATAATGCCCTAAATAAAATAAAGAATGAAATAAATTTTCTGTGTAAATCGAAAGTGAAGTTTCTTCTTACAAACATCATTAGTGATGAAGGTAGAAACAGGCACTTCCTGGATTTTGTTATTGACTTTTGTAAATTCAAGCTCAAAATCAATTCCTTGGAAAAACGAGTGAAACATAGTAAGGCCTTTACCATTGTTCCGTTTCTCAGTAAATGCCTTGATTCTTTTAAACTGACTACCATTATAGGTAGTTCAGAGGCCAGAATCAAATTTCCTATTAAAGATACTTATTCCAGAGTCTCATACAGCCAATAAAAGCCTTTTAGTAGGCTTGTTTGTAATTATAGGCCATTCGTCTAAGATCTTGATTTGACATCACTTGAAGGCTTACCTTGCACGTGTGAAGATGATAGGTATAGGAGCTATGTTCACAGGCATCATAGGCACATTCTTACTGGCGACCTAGGCATTATCGAAAATGTTAA